ACCCCCCACACCCCCCCCCTCCCCCCCAACCTTTAGGTTTGTCTTCCGCCTCCTAACCCAGTCCACGCATCCCTTGCTCCGCCGCCTGCCCCCTGGCTGCATGCTCGTGGTTGGCCAACCAGGCTCCTCCTCCTCCTCCTCCCCCTCCTCCAAACCCGCAGACAAGACCAAACCAAGAGACAAGGGCAATCCCTCCAGCCCTAACCTTTCCTCCCCAGCCGCCCATGCCGCCCCTGCGTCCCCTCGTTTCCCCGACTCGCGTTCCTCGTCTTCTTCTGCCACTCCTGCTTCACGTAAGGGCGGCTCCTCCGGTTCCTCCTCCTCCTGTGTCTCCTCCTCTCATGTGCTTCCCTCCTCCTCCGCCTCCTCCTCCTCTCTCCCCGCTCTCTCCCCTTCTCTTCCCGCCCTTTCCCCCCACAACGCTGCAACAGCAGCAGCAACAGCGGCGGCCGTAGCAGCGCCTGGCGGTGCTGCCGATGGCTATGCCAATGGTAATGAGTCTGATGACGAGGAGGGTTATAACGAGGATGGCAGCAACGATAGGGATACGGATGATGACGATGATGACGGTGATGACGATGCCGTGTGCCGGCCCAAGTCCTCCTTCACCATAGCGGACTGGGAGGCGGAGCTGCAGAGGGTGGCTATCGGCCAGCAGAGGATCGTGTCTCTGTGGGATAGAGCCGAGGTAGCAGGCCGTGTGCGTGCCGGTGGTGGTGTTGGTGCAGCCGCGTTGGGTAGTCCAGGTGGGGTGGCTGCAGCTGGTAGCAGTGGCTTTGGTGGTAGCAATGGTGGTGGTGGTGCTGCTGCTGCTGCTGCTGCTGCTGCTGCTGCTGCTGCTGTTGCTGGTGGTGCTGCTGGTGGTGGTACTGCTGTGGTGCTGCTGCCAACGCCATCGACGGCTCACGAGGAGCAGCACCAGCAGCAGGTTCAGAGGCAGATGCAGCTGCTGCAGCAGCAGAAACAGCAGCAGCAGCAGCAGCAGCAGCAGCAGCAGAATCTGCCCGCCGGGCAGAAGAAATTCCGCCCGCTGCGAATCATTGTCCCAGATAGCACCTCCCCCCACCCCTCACGTGCGCCTACCCCCAGCCCTGGCCTGAGCGCCTCCAGCAGAGACGGGCGCACCCCAGGTGAAATCTCAGGTGCCCTGGGGCCCTATGCTGTGAACAGTAGCCCAGGATTCAGCAGGGTCAGTAGCCATGACAACCCGAACGCCCTCGTGCCGCTGGCCTCCCCTAGAGGCTTCTCGCTCCCTGGGATGAGCCCTGGCGGGTTAAGTGCAGGGGCAGCAGGAGGAGGGGCAGGAGCAGGAGGAGGAGGGAGAAGGGGAGGAGGAGGGGGAGGTGTTGGAGTTGGTGTAGGAGGAGAGTTAGCATTAGCGGAAGGAGGAGCGGATAGGGGGCAATCGGCAGCAGCGTCTAACAGCGGGCCGGTGTCCGAGGCGGACAGGCAGCGCATGCTGCGGCTGCAGCAGCAGATGCGGCACCAGTTCACCGGGCTGCAGAAGATCCTGGTAGAGCAGCACCAGCCGTCCCCCGTCCACCCGTTGTTGGTCGGGGGCAGCAGCAGCAGCAGCGGCAGCACACAGGGAGTGAGCAGCAGCCGGGAGCAGTTCAGCCGCAGCAGCAGCAGCAGCAGCAGCAGCAGCAGCAGCAGCAGCAGCAGCAGCAGCAGCAGGCGAGGAGTCAGCAGCAGCGGGGAACAGCCCATCACACCCGCCGGCACTCCGGGTCTTCCTCTTCCACCTCTATCACCCCGCAGGGCACGCCCCCTCCCCGCCCCACCAAGGGCCGAGGCCTCTTCCCATCCTCTTCATCTGTCAGTGGGACTGGCACCAGCAGCGGCAGCGGCGGCAACAGACCTCAGGTGGAAAAGTCCCATGGGGATAAATCTCCCTTATGGAAGGGATTAGAGAGTGTAGCAGCAGGCTTGTCTGCCATTCACTCTGACAAACAAGCAGCCAAGGGCTCAGGTGGAAACTCAGATGGACGTTCAGGTGGTTTCTCAGGTGGTTTTTCAGGTGGGTTTGCAGGTGGGCGTTCAGGTTGGCATTCCCACCAGGGGAGCGAGGATTTTCATCTGAAAGGAAACGAGTTTGAGGGGATCGACACGAGCCTCCTCATCGTGCCCCGGATCGCCCCAACCTCAGCCTCGGCAGCAGCCTCGGCTGGAGCCTCGACAGGCTCGCCGTCGCCGAACCTTACCCCGCCCACAGGTCTGGGGGCAGGCACAGGAGGGACTGGAGGAATGAAGGTTGCAAGGGCTGTCTCACACGAGCAGCCAGTAGGGGGGGTGAGGAGAGGAGGAAGAGAGGTTTCGAAGGGCGGATTGGTGCAACACCCTGTAAGAGGATTGAAGGGAGAGGAGTCTCCAGCAGCCCCCCAGCAGCCGGTGGTGGTGGGAAAGAAGCTGTGGGTGACTGGCAGGTCTAGCTTTGGGAGTGAGAGGGAGATAGCGGGCGGGAGTGAACCTTTAGCAGCAGGCATGGGGCCGGTAGTAGCAGCAGATGCTGTACCAGCAGCAGCAGCAGCAGCAGCAGCAAGTCCTGCCAACAGCACCAGCAGCAGCAGCAACGCTGGGATGGGTACTACTAGCGACCATCACACCATCCCCATCCCTCTCCCTTCCTCCTCTTTCTCTGTCTCCTCCTCCTTCCAGTCCTCCTCCCAAGCCGGATTCCAAGCCAGCCGGCTGGACTCGGCAGACTGCCACCGCTTCCCCCCGGACCAGATTCACCGAGCCACGGGGGGGTTCTCGCCCTCGCAGCTGATTGGCCGGGGCAGGCTTGGGCCGAGCTACCGTGGGGAGATCTTTGGATGCCAAGTGGCGATAAAACTGCTGGAGCTCGTTGGGGAGACATCAGGGAAGAGTGAGAAGAGTGAGGAGCTCGGGGGAGATGGTGGGGAGACTGGGAGGGTTAATGGGGAGAGGAGGGAAGCAGGGGATGGGGAGGTGGGGGAGCAGGAAAGCGCCGCTGTCGGCTCGTCCGGTGCGTTTGGCTCGTTTGGTCCTGCCACATCAGAGGATCATCAAGTGGCACGAGAGAGAGTGCACGAAGCAGTGGAGGTGCTCAGTCGACTCAGGCACCCGCACCTGCTGCTGATGATGGGCCACTGCCCCGAATACCCCTGTCTAGTCTATGAGTATGCCCCCGGCGGGGGCCTCGCGTCCCGGCTCTCTCGTATCCACTCGCTCATGGCTGCTGCTACTGGGGTTTCAACCGCTGCAGCCGCAGCAGGGGAGGCTACCAGCAGCAGCAGCAACAGCAGCAGCATCACAGGTGGTGCTGCTGCTTCGGGCAGCGAAAGTAGTGAAGCCATGGCGTCAGGTGCAAGGTTTGGGGAGGAGGAGGAGGAGGAGTTGGAGGCAGTGTGGCTGTCTTGGGTGGATAGGCTGCGACTGGCGTCAGAGCTGGCAGGGGCGCTACTGTTCATGCACCAGCATGCGCCGCCCGTGCTGCATGGCGGGTTGACTCTACAGAGCGTGCTTCTAGACCGAAACTCCGCGTGTAAACTCAGTGGCGCAGGCCTCTCCTTCTCGTCAGCTCACCCTCCTGGTAGTGCACTGGAGGGGAACAGCGGCGGTGCCTCAGCTTCTGCTTCTGCTTCTGCTTCTGCTTCTGCTTCTGCTTCTGCTTCTGCATCTGCGTCTGCCTCTGACCCCAGGAGCAGCACAAAAGCAGGGGACACATGCCACGACACCAGCAGCACGGGCTTACTGGGAGACGATGTGCATGCCTATGGCATTGTGGTGTTACAGCTGGTTACCGGCATAACCAGCCCCTCTCTGATTCACTCCCTCATGCACTCCCATCCGGTAGCAGAAGGTACAAGATCAGCTGGTGGTGGGGTTGGGTCGGAGGGACACAGGATAGAACTAGCCGAGCAATCAGCAGGAGGGGCAGCCAGGGGAGGAGTTTCTGGGGGAGGTGTTACCTGCGGGTTCAACCTGGCTGAAGCAGTGGATGTGTTTTTGTCCCGATTGGACGTGACGGCGGGGGAATGGCCGGTGGAGATGGCATCTGTGGTGGTGCTGCTGGCGCTGCGCTGTGCTTCGGGGCAGGTGGAGCTTCGGCCGGACCTGGCAGCTGAGGTTCAGCCTGCCCTTTCGGCTCTGGCTCGGGAAGCGGAGGAGAGTTTTGGGCGGGCGGCCCGGCAAATGCTGCGGGCTGCCCTTAGAAAGCGAGATTTTTCTGCCTTTCAGAAGAAAGTGGAGAAGGTACAGTGGGTGGGGGGGGGGGGGGGGCTTGAGCATAATTTTTGCCGTCATACTGTATGGCTCTTGTTTTTTTGTCTCTGAATCAGGTGCCATTTTCCCTGTGCTCTTCTTTGTGCGTGCAGATTGAGGATAGAGCATCTCCCATTGTTCTTGACACTTCAAAGCATCATGGTGTTCGGAAGCTGATTGAGTCCATGGTTCCCCACAAGTCTCCTTCATTGCGTGGGAAAGGTTGGATGAGAACGAAGTCTATCAAGGGCTAGACAGCCCCGATCTGTGGCAACCTTACCTAGTCTTCTATTGCTTTTTAGTTCAAAAGCACCCAGAATACCTGTACATTGGAAGTGGTGGTGTTGATCAAAACTCCATGGTGTTAGAGAGAATCAATTGCAGCTCACGTTGGGTTCAGGAGTGGAAAGGTTATACCGGTACGATACTAATTTCGCAAAGCGAATAACGAGCCTTTTGACTCATGGGCAGAAGCGGAGTGTGGGCGCTCGCGCCCTCTGCTCTGATTGGCCCCTCCCTCGCTTCACTGTCAGCTGACACGATTCCAGCCGGAGCCGCAGTTTTCCCATTTCCAACCGCCAATGAACGGAAGCAGAGGGATGCACGGAGGAGAAAGCGATAAGGCCAGCGGGCTGTTACATAATCGGACGGAATGTCGATTCGCACCTCGCTTCGCTGATGTGGTGTTGCTGGGACGAACATTGGGATTTCGCTGGTCGTTAGCTTCTGTTCAAAACCAGACGGTTTCGGTTTCCAGCGACCTGCCCAAACGGTGGTGCTGCTGAATGAACAATAATCCCGAGAAACTGACGGAGTATTTCTCCTTCACTTTCAGACAAGTCGTCAGTCAGCCAATCAGGAATCCAGGCAGGAGCATTCTAAGGAAGAGTGGCTATGGTCGGGTGCTGAGTGCTGAGCATCCTAAGGAAGAAAGTGAGGATTCTGTCATAGCCCCCTAGTCAGTGCTCTTTGTCAGTGCTCGTTATGTTAGCCTTCTGATAACAGCTGTGGCTCCAGAGGTGGTGTTCATTCACTTCAGGCTCCGCTGGTGGTGGTTTCGTCGAGATTTCTCATGGTAAACTTGCAGTTTGAGTAGTCTGCGTCGCCATCTCAGTTGCGCTGTGCCTGTCTTTAATCTCTGTTGCACTGTGGTAGGCTCCTAAGAAAGTCGATACACTCCACCTCCTCCTGGTTGCTCGTATTTTCGGCCTCGATCCCTCCGTTTGTCAGGTAGGACACAATCTTCTGGCCTCTCGTCAAATCTCCGGACATCTTCCAGCGAGCGCAGTGATTAGAGTTGACTAGAGTCTGTTGAAACAAGTAGGACACAATCTTCCGGCCTCTCATCACGGCGTTTGCGTATTGTAATAGGGTTACCAGAACAGAGCAGTCCGTTGTAGATTCGCATCCATCCTTCGTAGATAAAATCCATCGTGAATTTATATCCTTCTTATATCAAATTCGTCGTACACTCAGACGTAGACTGAATCGGCGATGCCTCAATCATCCGTAGTTAGACGTCGAGTCGGCACCGACGGTAGCGCGGTACGATCGGACCTTCAAGAGCCGTTGCTGTCATGGGACGACAGACACGACGACGACGTCCGGATCGATCCGCCTGCGACGTCTGCGACGTGTGCGAATCCCGCGAACGGCGTCGCCAGCCACAGTTCCGACGTTAAGGTTCGTCTGTCTTCGCCGCTGCAGAGCACCATGAACGTGAAAGTGATACGTACAAAGGTTCGCCTGTCTTTGCTGCTGCAGGTTCTCTACTTTATAAGTTTGACTGGTATTCAAAGCTGACGGTGGACCATGTCGTCGTGCAGATACTTGCTGGATACTCGTCAGTCTGGAGTGATTCCATTATCTTAGAATAAGCATCTCACATTGCATCGTCATTAGACCCCACCGTCCGTCCTCTCATATACTCGGCTCACGAAACATCCCTAAAAGCGCCAGGTCTTACCCCCTTAGCCGCTGGTCTGTCCGCTTGCTTTCCGCAATTCCGTGTATTGACGCGCCTCAGAGTGCAAATCACCAGCATGCCGTCTTCTTTCTGCCCGTATTATCGTTCTTTCACGTCATTCCGTTCGGTTTGACAGAAATTTGTTAATTCCGTCCATTTTGACGGACGTAAGTTTGTTCGTTTTGACGACCTTTTTGTTCCGTGCAGTCGCCGTTGGGGTCTCCGAGGCCAGGGGAAGGCGGGTCTAGAGTGTGGCAGCACCTTCTCGGATCTTTCGTCTTCCAGTGGGCAGCATGGCTAGGTGGGTCTAGTATTATCATTCTTCAACTCCAAATTCAATTCCAAAAATGTTGTGCAATGACGTCAACTACGTGTTTTCTGCTTACTATCTATTATTTTTCTCCAGGTTGTAAGAGCACACTGCCCCTCCCTCCCGCTTCCCCCTCCCCTTTTCCCCTACCCCCACTTCTCTCTGCCCTCCCCCTGTCACCAGGCCAGCTCATGGTGGTTGCGCGCTCCAGGGTGCTTGCTCTGGGCGGCTCTTTTGCCTGCATCCCTCAACGTCACCTTCCCCCTCCCCACCGCCCTTACCCCCCGTATCAGGCCAGCTCATGGTCGGTGCGCGCACCAGGGTGCTTGCTCTGGGCGGCTCTTTTGCCTCCACGCTGCTGCTCCCCCGCACGCGCGCGCACCCATCCGCGGAGGCCCCCACCAGGTGCGCGGGGGGGTTCCCGCCCTTCCCCCCCATCAAGCTCTCCGAACCCCAGGAACGAAGCCTGAAGCTGCTACAAACGAGGATAGACCCGCTCTTTGAGAACGAGAAAGCCGAGCATAAAGCAGCACTAGTGGAGTTGTGGGAGCTGGCGTATCCGGGGAGGGTGTTGACTGAGGAGGTGGAGGTGGCAGGGTGGAAGAGATGGGGTGGCAGGGGAAACACCCGTCCTCGGATTTCAGGGGCGGGGGGGTTCTTTGCGCTGGAGAATCTGGTCTACTATGCTCGCACATACCCAGTAGGTGTGGGGAAAAGAGTAAGGTTGGAGAGGGATGGGGGGGGGGTTGGGGATTTGGGAGTGGGAAGATGGGGGATTGGGGATGTAAGATTCTGATATTGCTTTTCAAGGAACAACACCCATGAGGAGTTTTTGGGCTCTAGAGTGCACTCAGAATGCACCTCATTCTGGGTTTTTGTCCTCCCAGAGGTCGTTTCAGCGGCATCATGCGCAAGCAGGAATGTCGACTCGTGAGGCACCTTGTGCTCATTTTCCCTTCTCCGCCCCTTTGAAGCTCCTGTGTTGGCTCCATGCTTCTGCTCCCACTCTCTGTGTCACACTGCAGAGGTCGTTTCAGCGCATCATGCGCAAGCAGGAGGGACGCAGGGCGGAGTGGGAGTACCCCTTCGGAGCAGCAGGGGTGAACATCACCGTACTCCTTATAAGCATCCTCGACTTGCGTAAGGGTAAGCATGCAGCTTTTTGGTAGGAAGTCGCTGTCTTCCTTCTTGAAGCCCTTGGCCCACGCAAGCTGGGTGTTTCTAAAGCAATCCATGAAGAGGCAGGTGTGAATATTATCGTGGCATCCTTGGACTCACACACTGGTGATCTCTCGAATGAGTTTATAGAGCAGCTGGATGTGTATCGTTATGTTCTATTAGGGTATTATTTTTCACACTGCTTTTTCAGCTGGATGTGTATCGTTATGCTTTTTCTCCTCCCTTGTATGTCATCTCCCCAGCTCTCCTTCAAAAATCCCCTCAACTGTTGCCCAGGGGGGCTTTTCAGTGTCAGCGGTTAGATGAGTCACCGAAACATACAGCAGTCATTGAAACAGTAATCGTTATGTTCTGCTGTGTCGTTTTTCACCGCGCCTTTTTCTCTACCCATTTGCGTCCTTTCCCTGGGTCTCCTTCAGAGATCCCCTCAACTGTTGCGGACGAGCTTTTCTTAAATATATTACCAGAGCATCCGACGGCATTTTGAGGATCTGTACTGCGTGACGTTTTGAGGATGATGGACGCGAACTGGCTGGAGCTCAAAGCCTCTTACATGGAATTCAACGTGAGTCGATAAGGTCGGATGGTCATATGCGAGTCAAACACATGCACACGCGCTCACGGGACGCGCTAAAAACCGCTGAACCTTTTGAGGATCTGTGCGTTGTTGATGTTTGAGATGCTGGACGCCAGCTTGCCGGGCTCAAGGCCTCGTGCATGGAATTCAATGTGAGACATCCAAATGCATGCACATACAGCCAACCGTTTAGGACCTGCTCTGCGTTGCAGCTGGATCTGCTGGATGCTCATTCGCTAAAGCCGCTGTGCGTGGAGTTCGATGTGAGAGAAGCACTCACACTCGTGCCACAGTTACACTTACACACACACACACACACGCACACACACGCACACACACACACATGCACGCACACACACACACATACACTAGTCCACACTCTCTCAACCATAATGAATTCCTTGAATGCCGTGGTTGAACCCTCTTGGCTTTTCTCATCTTCTTTCATCCCTCCTTTCATCCCTCCTTTCATCCCTCCTTTCATCCCTCCTTTCATCCCTCCTTTCATCCCTCCTTTCATCCTCCTTTCATCTCCTTTCATCCCTCCTTTCATCCCTCCTTTCATCCCTCCTTTCATCCCTCCTTTCATCCCTCCTTTTCCCTCCTTTCATCCCTCCTTTCATCCCTCCTTTCATCCCTCCTTTCATCCCTCCTTTCATCCCTCCTTTCATCCCTCCTTTCATCCCTCCTTTCATCCCTCCTTTCATCCCTCCTTTCATCCCTCCTTTCATCCCTCCTTTCATCCCTCCTTTCATCCCTCCTTTCATCCTATCCCCATCTCTCTCCCCCACAGGTCGTCCCTCAAGCCACTCGAGCAGAGTTGGAGCACCATCTGTGCCAGCTCGCTTTCCACTCTCTTACAGCTCTCACTCTCCCCCCACCCTTGTAGCCAGCCCGGTTTCACTTCCATGCTCTCTACCCCCTCCCCTCCCCTTCATTCCCCTCCCCTCACCATGTCTTCCACCCACCGTCCTCCCCACCGTTGCTCACATCCAAGCCACCCGAGCAGAGTTGGAGCGCCATCCGTGCCAGCCCAGCTTCTCAGCCGTCTCTGATCCCGCCCTCCCCTACCCGCTCTCCTTCCTTTTCCTTACCCCACCCCTCTCCCCCGAGGTGGTGCTTCAAGCCACGCGTGCAGAGCTGGAGCGCCATCTGTGCCAGCCCAGCTTCACCTCTAATTCCGCCTCTACCCTCTCTCTTTGGTTCCCCTTGCCCCAAACCTCTTCCCCCGCCAG